CTTAGTTTTTATACACAACTTCCTAAAAACATGCAATGTATCTATTATCACTCTTCTTCTCATTTTCTATCTATTTGTTTATATGTTTATTTTTGAATGAGCATTTTTCGGTTGTAATTAATAAAGAAGAATTCCATTTTACTATTAACAAAGTTCTAAGTTTTAATTGCAAACTCTGGAATTATTTAAATTCTTTTTAGTTTAAGTTCACTATGTTATTATTTTTGTTAACCTTTTAAGGAACAATAAAGATTTTCAATGTCAAATAGTATGCTTGAATTTGTTTATGAACTTTTTACAGGGGGACTCTAAGACGCCCATAGTGGATAGACCATTGACTTCAATCTCGTTCGAACGTCAGATTCATACGCAGTTTTTAATGCCGTCAAAAAGTTAAAAGAACGGAAAATGTGATTTTTATGTGATTTTGAAATAAAACGAAGAATTCCACAGAATACCTAACGGTTAATGCATAGATACACAAACATTCAAATTCAGGATAAGGATTTACAAGAGAATACGACGATTCTGTGAATAATTTACCTTCATAGTAAATGTTTTATTTATTTATTGATTATTCAGCAACAATTTCTTTTTGAAACAGTATTACTACCTGATAGACATGTAATTTAAATGTGTATTATGTGTGTTATATTTCTTCATTATTATCATTAGGCTGCACTGTCTAATTAGTTCAGTCGAGCAGAAAGCAGAGCAATTTTTCACAAAATTGAATTTACACAAACGGTCGCGTCACCACTGAGAAGAATCTTAGAACAGTATATTTTTGACTATTTCTTCTTCACTCTCACCAATCACATTTCTTGCTCGAGAGCAAGAAATGTCGTGAAAAGAGCAAGAAATAAGCATAATGAATATACGAACCAAAAGGTTTTGGGTGATTAGCTAGTTCGTGCTATAAATATAATCCTGTAGATTTTGAAATCCAACTCTTTGTAGGCTGAAAGTATTCGTCTTTGCAGATGATATTGTGTATCATTTGAGTTACTTATCATCGATCTATATTCATTTATATCTTCGGCTAAAAAGCTTGTTAAAAACTGACTGAGAAACAAGCAGCACATGGGAGTATGATATTTATGTCTCTGATATTTTGAATAGAAAAGTAATGTTGATTAATTACAGCTATGCTAATAAACCATGTCCCAAAACAAGTATGATCGTACTAAATTATATACCGAAAATTCTGCGTAAAATGGATGATACATCGGCTGACAATAATGTGTGTATGATGCAACTATTCGTATCACAGATGAAGACGAGAAGAAAGATTGTTCGTCTTCTTTTACGCAGGTAATATAGAAAAATGCAAACAAGATGATAAAGACATGTGACACATTTTTTAATACTTGACAACAGTCTTATGGAGAGAACTTTACTTTACGACACGAATATTTTCTATCTTATATTTTCTTTTTTTGAATAACATATTAGCATTCCACTATATATTCGAATGTCCAAGTGAGCAGTTTTTTTTCTTCTTTGTTATCAGACACCACGATACACAAACAGAAAATGTTGAAAAGAACAAAGTACTATCAAAAGAATATATATCAAATGTCAATAGATTACTTCAGTCACCCTGCTGTAAAATCATGTTGATCTAGTTCCTCTTCGCAAAAATTCATGAAGTTTATTATAACACAACTATTAGTTTTATATTTAACAACGATATCATATGCAGTTGATGAATATGCGGATCAATGTTCACAACAAACATGTTTATCATTAAATATAGATGAGATTGACATTAGTAAATATATAAATGGTACTGATGAAGATCGAAATGAAATAGCACTATTATTTGATAAAAGTTTTCATAATTATGGTATTGTTCGATTAATAAATCATCAAGTATCATCGACAAATGAATTATTTGATAAAGCTAAAGAATTTTTTTCATTAGATTTAAAAACAAAAATGAATTATTTTGTCGATGAATTCTTCGGATATAAACCGAGTGGTTCGACATCCGTAGCTAATTATAACGGTGAAAAGAAAACAACATTATCCGATTCAGTCGAATGTTTTCTTTCATTATTAGATCAATATGATAATTTACCCACAGAATTTCAATCCATAGTACCGAAATATATGAATGAAACAAAAAGTGTTATTAATTCAATACATCAAATAGTTGATATGGCATTAGAACTCGATGAAGATAATTCGATTACTAAAAATTATACAAATCATGATAAACCAAGATTCACTTTGAGAATAGCAAAATATTTGCCAAATGAACAGAAAATAAATTTCGGAGCACATAAAGATTATCTTGGTTTTTCATTGATAGAAAATGATCATGTTTCAGGTTTGTTTTTGTATGATTTGGCATTATTTTCTTAATGATTATTATTTATATCTGTTTAGGGTTAGAAATTGAAGTAAATAATCGATGGTATCAAGTTATACCCAAACCAAACAGTTTACTGTTAATAGGAGGTGAATTCATTGAGCGTTGGACAAATAATTACTGGATATCTGCATTACATCGTGTTTCGTCGGTAACCGAACCTCGTTACTCTGCAATTCTATTTACTGCACCAGATTTAAGCAAAATTATTGATGTTTTACCATGTAAAAAATGCTTAGAAAATCACTCATCAAAAAAATATGAACCTGTAACGGGTTATGATCATTTGCAATCAAGAGATAAAGCTCAGGCATTTAATTCAAATGATGATGAGTAGATGTCATTTGAACATAGTATTTTTATTTTTAAAAAGCTTTACATTTTTTCGTTACTAAATATATAAAAGACATTAAAACTTTGAAACAGATGACTATACCTGATACCAAACAATTTCTTTTGTCCTAAGACTTAATGCAATACCCCATTCGACGCTGATCACAAATAGGCCAACAGTTTTTGTTGAAAGTCGCACTATATGTTATGAATTTTTCCCTCGAATCCAGCCCGAAACGAGGCAGGATTTTGCTCCTTCGCCTCGAAGGCTGTTGCCCTCGGTTCGCTTCTATTCGACTCTATTTTTTCCAAGGCCGCCTCGTCTAGCCTCGCTTCGTGAGATGTTTGCTTCGCCTCGCCTCGCTAGTGGCTCGCTAGTGGCGTAGCCACAGATGGGCTGTGGTGGACTAAGCCCACCCAAAAACTGTTTGAGCCCACCCTCAAGATATTTGAGTTTATCCGGAAACATTTTTTAGGTGTCTCAATAAAACTTGTGATATAAGATATGAAAGATATCACATCACATTGTTTTTTGAAGTATAAAGATTTCGATCAATTCTGTAGCGGCTATTTATTGTTATTTTTAGATACCCGTATCTCATTCTCCGTGCCCTCTCTTATCTCTCATCGTTCACTATGTTCGGCGTCTTTTCTTGTTCTCATATATTCTCTACATCCTCTAATCACATGTTCTACTCACTATATGTCGTGTCTGTTTTTCATTCTTCTCGCGCTCTTTTCTCGTATGTTCTTCATAGTCTCTTTTCATATGATATCAGTTACCGTGTCCATTCACTGTGTCTTTTCTCTTTGCAATATGTCATCCACTAGTTATTAAGTGGTAGTTGGTACATCTCTATTCGGTTTTTTAAATATGTGTTCTTGTCAGTTCCCCTCTCGTTCAATCAGTATTTTTCTTTCAATCTGCTTCGTTTCTTCTCACACATGTCAAATATGTTTGGATTTTTCCATTCCTGTCTACCAAGTATGTTTGGTCTTTT